AAGTGAAATCAGTAGAACATTATTTTGCCATCACACAGGAGACAGGATTCTCCTTCTCTTTCATTATCTAAACCATTAAAGAATCTCTTCCCACTGGTAAACAAGTCATACCTGAAGATGATGTTTCCTGCACGATCAGCCTTCCATGCCTTCACAAGAGCAAAATCTCCTGTAATTGACTTCTCCAGAATAAAGTGACGGCCATCAAACTCTCGCACCTACAGAGAAAAGTACACTATTGAGATGTGGGTTTCTTCAAACAGGTACCCCATGTAATATTTATTTTATGGGCTTAGTTTTACAGCTATTACATTTAGATTTCTTTTTGTACTACATAAAGTTTTATCTGAAAAACTGTATCTCAATTGTATAGTAACAGAGAAGCATGGAAAGGCTGTAAACCCCAGTTTTATCATAGTGTCTCTGTTTAGTGAAGCAGAATGCGAATCAGATCCATATTCTTGCTGCTCCATCTACTGGAATTAGATATGCTTTTTCCTGCACATCTATCAGCTAACCAAAAACTGAAGTGCTAAAGCAGAACTGTTGAGAAAGTTCATAATCACTGCCCACTACCAGAAACACCAAATCAAAAATGAAGTGGATTTCAGACAGAGTACTCAAATCACATCATATGACAGGCTGAATTTCATTTGGTTTTCTCTGCATTTATCAATAGTGACATTGTGCCTGAAGCCACAATATGTAACTGACAAACAGCTAGTATTTTAATCCTATATAGAAACAGGAAACAGCATTTCTCTAACAATGCAGAAGGTTAAAGTACACACAAATACTACTTCAGAGCTATTTAACATTTCTGAGAGGGGGAGGAAGTATGACAGAAGTGTATCAGAAGTCAGTTTTTCGGTCCTGTAAAAGCAGATCTCAGCTTTTATAAAATGAACTTGCAGTCAAAATTGATTTGGAGAATGGATTTGATCAAATCATGCTATCAGTGTTAGTCATGTTATTAGCCCCCCAAAAGACTGAGTAAGAGAGACTTTTCCACAAATATGAAAAGTAGAAGAAAAATGTTATCAAAATTATAAACTACCTAATAAACAGAACATTCCTTCAAATGGTAAAACTTTATAATGACATATTCAGTAAGAAAATTAAGGACAAAAAGACTATGTTAATGATTAGATACTGAAAATAGCCATGTATAAAATATACAAAAATCATGGAAGGGGAAAAATTACTTTTACCCGAGAGACGTTCTTGAGGTAGAATTTAATGCCATTTGCAGCCTAACTGGAACATACCACATTAGCCCCATCCATTTTTTTCAGGTACAGTTATGGCACTGAGAAATCTCTTCCTGTCTCCAAATTCTACATCCAATTTCAACATGAAGCCCTTGTTTCACACTTGGAAGCTACACTCTTTTTATTTCTTTGCAATTTCAGATGAGTTGGCAAATACGTTTCCTGAAAGTTTGCGTCAACTGAGCTCTTCCTGGTTTAACAGGAAAACGTCCCATCTCTTCTAATGCTAAAGCTTCATGTACAGTTGCAGGGCTGCTTACTCCATACCACAGTATTTAAGGAGCATCTGCCTCACTAATAGGAGGTTGTCCTCAATCTGTACTGTGTACTGCAATGACCTGGTACAAGAGTTTGTTTGAATACACAGCAAACCTGGTCAGGGAACTAAATGAAGTGTAACTCAGCAAGACAGGTTTTCACTTGGACTGGTTCTTGATGCTAAGTCACCCTAAAGATGTAAAAACTTTTCTAAGACATCACAGAGGACAGAATTAAGCATTGGGAGAAAAACTAATGTGTCCAGTGCTTACAGATACTCTGTTAATCCAAAATACCAAGGTTAAACTTGGCCAGGAGGTGCTTAAACTACTGTTTATCTTGGAAATACGTAAGAAATTCAGTTTTCAAAGCAAAAGGCTTCCTAAGAACAAATTGACGTCTTACCTCTCTTGGCTGGCTAGCAATGGCAATGGTGCCATCTGTGTTGTATTTGATAGGTGCACCCCCTTCCTGCACCAGTGTCCCATAGCCCGTACTGGTGTAAAATGCTGGGATTCCTGCTCCTCCTGCTCTAATACGTTCAGCGAGCGTACCCTGTGGGAAAACGCATTCAAGAACTAGTCGTTTGGGAACAACAAATCAAACTTTCATGAATGGCTTGCATGAACTTATTTTTATATCGTGTCATCTGGAGCTTTTTCTTCTGAACTCAGCAGACCACCACATCTGTTTCTTCCTCCCATTTTAGCTTTCCTTTGTGGGATGGGTACTGGATGTGGCAAGAAATGCTTCACACACAGTCATAAATTGTTCAAGAGCACACCATCACAAAACCCCGTCAACTCCCAAGCCCCAGCACTTCGCTGTGCCTCCTCTCCTTCAGCTTGCTTCCCAATCCATTACTCTGAGAACACTACAGAGTTCTTTTTCTCTTTCCCACCTGGCTACGTATGCTGGAAGATTTTTCTTTTATAACAGTCCTACATATTTATGTTTGATCCTCCAACATCTCAAGAAAAGCTTTGTACCTCATTCCAAGTTGAAACAGCCACACATAGCAGATCGAGAAAGGAAAAGGGAGTCCAGTGATCTAGGTTGCCTGTGCTATGAATACCAAGAAGCTGACAGAATAGCATTTCTACTCTATTTGACCATCCCATCTGCACTCCGCTCAATGTCCAGCTGTACCATAGATATCAACAGCCCAAATTCCTCATCAGCCTTAATTATGGACTTATGGCCAAAGACATGTCTGCCTGCTTTTCATTAAGTGTCCTTTTGCAAATTTTTTTTTATATTTTTCTGGATTCAAAGCAAGACAAGGCTGTCACGGTCAATTATCTAGCTTGACAGCCTCCAAACCATAGGTTGCATTTTCCCCAGTTATCCTGCAAGAAACACAATGACTTCTAGTAGGTTTACAATATGGCAGCAAGATGCAGATACAAACCATGCAATGATACAAAGTCCTACATTCCAAGCAGCCTTAGCATGTCAAGATCTCACCATGACTTCTCCCTTCCCTACTGTGTAACAAGGATGCAACAGTCCCCCATTTTGCCTAAAGCCATACCAAACCTGAAGACCGTGTTCCAAAAGGCTATTTCATGTTGACACAAATATTTGAAATCCCCGCATCGGTCAGCAAGTCATTAATTCACCTCACTGTTCACCATTGCACACTGTAGACCCAACACTTTCATGCTGGATCTACATAGCTTGTCTCTGCAGTCCACAAAGCGGTTACATGGCTAAGGAGTTCATGGTCTTCTAGATTAAAGCACTGAACATTACGTAGGAAGAAGAAAAAAATTAATTGTGAGGTGATAGAAAGGTGAGGTTTGCGATTTTTGAAACATGAGAAGCGACAAGTGCTTGGTTATTCCATGTCAGCTGACTGGGTATGAGGAGCTTTTCTGCCCATCTCTGGGATTCTAAGAGACATTCCCAAGAGACAGAGTCCAAAACTCTTTTCATAAAAACTTGATTGTTGCTTTCCGTAGAGACTTAAATCAATAGCTCATTAAAGCCTAAAGGTTATGTGTTACCTTTGGAAATGCCACACACTAACATACTGTAGGATTTAAAGTTAAAGTACTAACTTCACAAAACTATATCTCAATAGGATATGACTGATACTCATGATTTTTAGGATCTCATTGCATGCAGGCTATTTGGGTAGCTTGGCAGCACTAGAATAGTTAACACTACGGTGCTAAAAAGTGAAGTTGTAAATAGTGGTTCCTAACACTATGCTGAGATTAATTTAGCTAAGATTTAATAAACAAGCCCAAAAGAGTTATGTCTCACAATGAACCGAAATCTCCTAATTTGATTCCTACCCACTAGATGGCACACACTGCACACGCGACATCCGCAAAAGCACACACGAGCTGCCACCAACACAGGAATTCAGTAACTCCCGCAATTTTTTCCTTGTATATGGGCCACAGCAGCAAGCATGCTTCATGTCTTTTCTATAGTCTGGGAGGAACTACCAAAAATCAAAGATTGTACAATAAGATATACATAGAGAGAGAGACAGATATACATGGAACGAATATAATATAACAAGCCATAAAATGAATTCACACTATATGACCAGTCAGTTCTTAACAGACCAGCTGCAGCCTGCAGCCTACAGCCCATGATCCTCAGATGGCAAATGCCATTTCTCTACTGCACATCTTTACTGCACATCTGCACACAGGCAAAACATTTGAACTGCAAAATAATTTTGTAAGAGCACTTAAGCATTATCCTGCTCATTATTTTAGATTAAAAGAAATGACCTGTCTCCTAGAGACATTCCTTACCTGAGGGGTAAGCTCAACTTCAAGCTCACCAGATAAATACTGGCGTTCAAATTCAGCATTCTCTCCAACATATGATGACACCATGCGTTTTATCTGCTTAGTCTGAAGCAGAAGACCAAGTCCAAAATTGTCAACACTGTGTAGAAAAAGCCAGACAATACTCAGCATTAATAACACGAGTTTTGTTGCACTCAAAGCACTCGATAAACTTTAATGACTTAACAAGATAGGACAAAGTTATCTCCCCCCACTTCAGACATAGGAATTGGAGACAAAAATTGAATTTCAGCTTTTAGGAGGGAGAACATCAAAACTACAAACAAAATTTAGAAGTCCAATGCTCAGACCTTATCTATTCTAAGGTACTGAATACATCCCAAACTCCGTTTTAAAGATGTTTTACATGTAACAGCTACAAACACCATCTTAATAAGTGGTGTTATTTTACATATCTGCTCCTTTAAAAAGCCTTACTAATTAATAAAAAGTCACACATGGCACAATCTGTCTTTCAGTGAACAGACTTATTCTTTCTTTAAACTCTTGCTCCCCAGGAAAAAGGCAAGTGATTGCTTAGCAGCTCAAGGAGAAAAGCGAATTCACATTTATAGCGCTGGTCTGTATACAAGGTAAGAGAATATTTGCATTTAAATTTTCTTATTAAAGTAAGTAATTCACTATCTTATTGAGAAATTGCCTACTCCAGCAAAAGCTGTTAACACTGCGGCCAAGGTTTTCTTGTCTGTGTCTTAATATATCATCTCAAACTGAATGCCAAAGATAACATACAACATTTTCCTTGTGCCAGTGCTTCTGAGTTCTGCTATCCTAAAGACATTACTCTCTATTAATCTTCAGCATTTTTGTGGTTTGTCACACTATATTGTGTATGTGATGGAAGAAGATACTTCAAGAGTTACTGTAACAAAAGGGCTCTGTAAAAAAAGCTATTGCAATTTGAAAAAATATAAGGCTAAAATATAAAAATGGAACTAAACAGAGATGATATTACAAAGAGTTGTGGTTTAACCTGGCAAGTAGCTAAAACCACAGAGCCATTTGCTCACCACTCCCCCCAGCTCAGCAGGATGAGGCAGAGAATCTAAAAAAAAAAAGGTAGAACTCATGGGTTGAGATAAAGAGAGATTAATAGGACAGAAAAAAAGAGTAATACTGATGATAATAATAATAATGATAAAATAATATACAAGACAAGTGATGCACGGCACAATTGCTCACCACCCGCTGACCGATGCCCAGTTAGTTCCCGAGCTGTGGCCCCTCCCCAGCCAACTCCCACAGTTTATATACTGAGCATGATGTGGTATGGAATGGAACATCCCTTTGGCCAGCCGGGGTCAGCTGTCCTGGCTGTGCCCCCTCCCAGCTTCCCGCGCACCCCCAGCCCGCTCGCTGGCAAGGCAGAGCATGAGAAGCTGAACAGCCCTTGACTGCTTAGCAACAAATAAAAACATCAGCATGTTATCAACATTATTTTCATCCCAAATCCAAAACAGTATACCGGCTACTAGGAAGAAAATTAACTTTATCTCCGTCGAAACCAGGACTCGAAGGCATGTTTCTTTCACATTTCCAACACATTATGCAGGATACTGGCAGACTGGTACATGTGTGTGAAGTTCTTCTACATTTATACTGGTTTCTGCAACATGTGAGTGAAGAACTAAGACCTTCCACTCCCACCACAGGAAAGACGCCATGATCCAGAAGCACCTCAGAAAAAGTGACGTGTATTTGCCACTAGCTGTTTCAATTTAAATTACTTAATTATCTACACAATGGCTTGAGTTTTCAGGGTAAGAAATATTGAAAAATATTAAAACAATCCTTTAAGAAACCAAACTCACAGAATCACAGAATCACTAAGGTTGGAAAGGACCTTCAAGATCGTCAAGTCCAACCATTAACCCAATGCCACCATATCCACTAAACCATGT